AAATTTCTTGTTTTTGTCCTCATCGGAACCAACATGGTGAATTTCTCACTTATTTTCATATTGTAGTACTACTATCTTGTTGTCCATGAAGTTCTAATGATTGAATCCTTTCTGGCTTTTGTCAAAAAGGTTTCTACATGGAGTGCTCTAAGATTCTATGTTGTAATTTGATGTTATATCCTTAGTTTGTGCAATCAAGAAATGGCATTACCATGGAAAGAAATGGCTATATTAGTCAAACTAGTGTCAAGTTTTATTAGGTTATCTATTTCTCCTTCTACTTGTTGCATTTGTCTTCGGTATTTGTTCACTCCAGTATATGTAAAGAAATTTCTGAAACAAATGATGATATTAGATACTTAGTGGGTTGTATTCTGAATCTTTTCTCACCTATGTCAGCTAACAGAAGAAGTGAATAAGATGGATGAGAAGCTGAAGCTCACTGAATCACTTCTAGAGAACAGGGTAGTCACTAAATTTCCTTGTTATTGCTGTTCTGTCATTTGTATGATTCTATGATGAGGGAGTGGTTGATGTTAAATTGAACATGCAGAATCTTGAAATCAAGAAGATAAATGATGAGAAGAAAGCAGCTTTGGCTGCCCAGTTTGCAGCAGAGGCAACACTTAGAAGAGTCCATGCAGCTCAAAAAGATGATGACATGCCCCCAATCGAAGCCATTCTTGCACCCCTTGAGGCAGAGTTGAAGCTAGCTCGGCAAGAGGTCCCCTTTTGAAACCTTGCTCCTGCAAAATGTATCATCCATAAATTTTTCTTTGATATCTTTGCCTGTGTTTAGCACTTAGGAACCACCTTCCTTGTATATTCAGTTTATCAACAAATTAATTTTCTTGCAATATCTGCTCAAGTTTTTTCTTTTTCTTTTTTTGTGGTATGTTTGTTCCTTCTTTTAAACCATCTGATTGATATTTTAAATTCTTCATGTGAGTGTTGCTGGCAATTGAACATCTCCTGATGTTGATTTTTTATTCAGTTTCCAATTGCTAACCTTTGCAGTGTTCCATTTTTATGAAAGATTACACCTCATACTTGTTGGATTTCTCTGTATTCTGAGCATGCTTTTAATGTCTCTGAATATTCGCTATCTCCAAAGCTGTTTCCACATTTATATCTCAGTTGTATTGTGCTTCTAGGACACTAAGAGATAAATCTTCTGTCAGGCGTATGACAGCTCTACAGCTCTACATTCTCTGAACATAACATCTTAGAGTTCTGTATATGTCTACTGTAAAGGAGAAGCTAGAAAAGCTAGAATTTGTTGAAGACATCCCTTCTATGTGCAGATTGCAAAGCTGCAGGATGACAACAGGGCATTAGATCGTCTTACCAAATCGAAGGAAGCTGCACTACTGGAAGCTGAACGGACTGTACAGATTGCTTTAGCAAAGGCTTCAATGGTGGATGATCTACAAAATAAGAACCAGGAGTTGATGAAACAGATTGAGATCTGTCAGGTATACAGGAAAAAATGATAATAATTCTCCACTGGTGGAATGGGGGTAGCGTCTGCATGCTGTGATGCTATTTTTATTATTATATTATTTTCACTCTCACCTCTGTCTTCATTGATTAGGAGGAGAACAAGATCCTGGATAAAATGCATCGTCAAAAGGTTGCTGAGGTTGAAAAGCTTAGCCAGACTGTGCGAGAACTCGAAGAGGCTGTTCTTGCAGGTGGCGCAGCTGCAAATGCAGTTAGGGATTACCAGCGGAAAGTTCAGGAGATGAATGTAATATATTGGGCTTTATTGTGATGTATTAGAGAGGGATTCTATTTTTGTATTTGAACTACTTGATGTCATAAGATCTAAAATATATAGTGTTGTTATTATTAAATTTTCTGGTTATATATTCAGGACGAGATGAAAACACTTGATCGTGAACTATCTCGGGCAAAGGTTTCAGCTAATAGGGTTGCAGTGGTAGTTGCAAACGAATGGAAAGATTCTAATGACAAAGTTATGCCTGTTAAACAGTGGCTGGAGGAACGGAGATTCATGCAGGTTAGTGCTAATGGTTGCGGATGATCTTCTCATTGCAGATGCTATGTTTAGGAATTTTTTTTTGTTCCAGATCACACTGCTCTGTTTGCAGGATTCCATTTGATATGCCCATTTTCGATTTTTTTCCCTTGTCATAGAAAATATTGTCATCAGCTTACATGGTTTTGCAGGGTGAAATGCAGCAACTTCGAGATAAGCTTGTTATAGCAGAACGTACTGCAAGATCCGAAGCTCAGTTAAAAGTAGTGTTTTTCCTTCAAATACTTAACATTTTTATATTCAAGTGATTAAAGCATATGAGGTTGCAATTTTTCTGACATTTCAGGAGAAGTTTCAGTTACGGCTCAAGGTTTTAGAAGATGGATCGAGAATGTCGGCTAGTGGTACTTACCGCACGACCATAGAGGGGAAGAGTGTAAGCAATGGTCCTTCACGTCGTCAGTCCCTTGGTGGAGCTGATAATGTTCCTAAGAGTGTAAATGGCTTCCTTTCAAAGAGACCATCTTTTCAGATGAGATCTTCTGTTTCTAGTAGCACAGTTCTCAAACATGCCAAAGGAGCATCCAAGTCATTTGATGGTGGCACTAGATCATTGGACCGTAGCAAAGTCCTTTTGACTGGTGCAGGCTTGTCACTGAACAGATCTTCTGATGCAACTGGAGATGGTGTGACACATGAAAGTTGGAAGAAAATTCCAGATGAGAAGACCAATGATTTCCCTAATGTTGACTCAGATGATTGTGTCTCTGGACTATTGTATGACATGTTGCAGAAGGAGGTAATTACACTGAGGAAAGCATGCCATGAGAAGGACCAAAGCTTAAAAGACAAGGATGATGCGATTGAGGTAAGTGCTCCGTTAACATCACTGTAAGATAATCCTTCTGCCATTTCCAAACTCTTGTAAATTCTGCTGTGAATATTCTAAATCAGATGCTGGCCAAGAAAGTTGATATGTTGACTAAAGCAATGGAAGTGGAGGCAAAAAAGATGAGAAGAGAAGTGGCTGCAATGGAGAAAGAAGTGGCTGCTATGCGAGTGGAGAAAGAACAAGATAACAAGTCTAAGCGACTTGGTGGTTCCAAGGGTCTGGCCAATAGTTCTCAGCTGCCACCAGGAAGGTATGACAAGTAGATGTTCTTAGAAAATCACATTTTATATCAATTGGTCAAGTTCTTCTTACTGCATATTATTAACTTTTGATGATTTTGGTCTTAATTCTACTATTGTAACAGCTGAATAATGGAGAATCATTAGTTATAATCAGGCTCAGGATTAAAATCTCATAGTGGCATGCTCAGGCACTCATTTTTTACACTTAACATGTACCATTCATTTCCAGTTATTTGTTTATCGTGATATAAAATGTATAGTATGTTTGATAGCTTAGTTTTTCTTCTGGCTATTTTCTTCATTTATTTATAGTAGGTTTCAGCATATTATATCTCCATATTTAGTTAAATTAAACCAACAGAATATGTAAATTTAAGTTTTGCAATATGCTAAATTTGAATTCAATGGAATAATGAATGCTGTTTATGCAGGTGGCATTTGTTATCTCTGTTTTGATTAAGATTTGATAAAAAAATACATTGCTTAAATTAAATCATTATGATAACTAGGGCATCAGGTCAATCCTTTGCTGTTAACAATTTTTTAGGATTCGAGGTATTTCATATATTTTATGATTCCAAGTAATGTCTTTTTTTGTCTAAGACGAAACATGGACTTACCAATTTTCACCTCGGCTGTGTTTAATACGGTGATGCTTTTTTGTTCAAAAAGAAAAATACAATATCACAATTCATGTTGATAACCCATTAATGAGTTTACTGTTGATACTTGCTAAGATGGTAACAGATGTTGTCGTATACTTTCATGACCCAGTCACAAAACATTATTTGTTTGAACCCGAAATGTTGGGGTGGCCGTAAAATTGCTAATTGTCACATAATTCTGTTCTGACTTCAGGGCTGTCCCTCGAAGTGGGTTGATGCGCAACCTATGACAAGAAAATAGGAAGTATGAACAAATCAAGAAGAGATTCAGCATAAGGCTACTTTCTTCTTATGTATTTTTCATCTTCTTATGCTTGCTGTTGATTTCTTCATCGAGACCAGCACCAGACGACCTTGCAACAATTTGTTAGGGAGCTCATTTGGGAGACTCAGGTCTGTTTGCAGCTGACATCGACTGTAGTTGCCTTCTGCAAGTGATTGTTGGGTTTTCTAACTTAAAAGACCTGTCATTTTGGTAGGCCAATGCCTTATTTGTTTGTATAGCCTGCTCTATCTTTGTTATTCGGCATTTTGCAATCGCCTCAGTGTTGTGGTTTTTTTGTTTTGCTTATTTTCCAAGGATGTGAATATTATGTAAGTCCATATTTGTTTCATATTTGTGTTGGTCGGTCTTGATTTTAGGTAGTTCTTGCTAAAGTTTGTGTTAGATCTTTTGGCCAAAGCTCGTGCTTCGCATAATCCAAATGGTGTTTAGTAGAACCCGCCATATCGAATCGAGTGTTGTCGACACTTTTCATGATCGCCTTGGCGACCTTCGTAAACTAAGACGTGAGACATCTCAGTTCGTAGACCTGACCCGTCGGAATCATGGAGTAATTTATTTTTTTATTACTACAATAGCTTTTAAAGCATTAATATAAATAAAAAAATCAATCGATGTCAATAATGTATTATATATCACGACAGCATATGTAAATTTGGGTTTTGAAATATGCTAGATTTGATAATTTAATGGAATAATTAGTTAAATATGATTATAAAATTATTTTCTAATATTTATTATTGGCTTGAAAAATGGACGATTGAGATTTAATCCCACAAGCGAGATGGATGAATTTTTAGGGCTTCGTACCGGTGAACCATTTACTTAATTTCCCTCCCTCCTCATATATATCGCCCATCGCGTCTTTTCGGTCATGTTTTCTCCCAAGAAATGGCGCCTATTAATGGCCGGATTGGCCTGCTTGATCAGGCTTGGGCGACAACCGCGGCGACGGCTCTCTCATGAAAGCCGTTTACTCGATCCCCGTCGTCGGACGACTGGTATCTCTCGCTCTCCCTGCACCGTTGATCTAACCCCTTCCCTTCGCCATTCTAGTTTGGTTTGGATAGCATCATCATTAACCATGGGCCTTGCACTTTTAATCATCACAATGTTTTTTACAGGCTTGACAGTCGTAGAGGTTGTGAGATTTTGTTTTTCGATATCAGGAGTGTTGAGAAATCAGAGTATCTATCTACATGTGACAAGTTAACTCCAGAATAGCTCCCACTGAATTGGGAAACCAGATTTTGAATGAACAAATTGTTGTTTACAAAAATCACAACAGAAATAATCTTAATGTACTTGTTGCTTTCATTTTTTTATTGAAAATTGCAAGGAATTTAACAATTCTTCATTGTTCTCTTGTTAGAGCTTATGGTAATATTACTTGGACAAAGCCATTGCAAGGTGAAAACAACCCTATATGAATTTAAGATGACTTGGATTTTAATTCTTATTAGTTTTCCTTTAATAGATCTTTTAGCTGCATAATGCAAACTGGACTAAATCGACTATAACTACTATATTTAGGGACATTGTGGTGCTTCATGAAACCATTTGATAATAAAGCAAATGGTTAAACCTACTTGGCACATTAGAATGATGAACAAGATGTGAATGAAGTTGCATAACAACTTTTAAACCCACTAAAGAGTTTATTTTTAAGAGATGGACCCCCAAAGTTAAGGCTTCATATTCTAAACAAATTTCATTCATATGACACCCATAATTTCTTTACCTGGCTATAGTTTTCATTTTATTTTTCTTTCAATAATAAAGATTTATATAGCTATCTAACATGAGAGAGTTGGATATGTTAATAACTTGTCATCTTCAATGCTCTGCAGTGTTATGAAAGATATGGAGAATGGAAATGAAAATATTGTTATCACTCTTGATCCGCGACGACTTGGACAAGGCATCTTTGATATCAGCTCATGGGTTGTTCATCAGCTTTCAGATTTTAGAGGTAAATCTCTTACTGATAAATCAGTTTACTTTACTTTAAAATATGATTGGCATAATTCAGGCACTTCATAAGCTGTAGAAACAACAGAGCCGGTAGGCAACATTTGCATAGAAACAAGGAGATTTCCATATTAATTTCCAGTTGCATTTTAGATTTTAATTTTATGTAAAGGCACTAGCATTCTTGCCTCATCAAGAACTAGTTATATGATCTAAACTTATTATCCAAATTTAGTGTCTGTATGATCCATACTTATTATTCTGAACTAAGAGGCAAGTCTTGCTAGTTTATTGATGCAGTTTGCTTGGAGTCTAAAGCATGCCATGGATCATTTGCTTGGAGTTTGGAAAACGATCACTGTATTTTCGGAAAAAAAGAAGGTAAGGCAATTGCTCGTGAAATTATCATTTTTTTTGAATTATTTTTCGGATGGTACTCTTTTCATAATTCTCAAACAATCATCCTTTATTTCAAAATTTTCAATAATGCCTTCCAAAAGCTGCCGTGTATTTTTTTTCTCCCAAATTCAAAAAGTTTTTTTTTTGTCAACTGTTGATGGTGTTTTTGTTTTAAAAATATTATGATTATTTTTGTTTTAAAAATACTATATAGTGTTTTTGTTTCAAAAACATTATGACATCAATATTTATTTCAAAAACACTCACTATAGAGTGTTTTTGAACTAGCCTTACAGTGTTTTTTGGGGATAAAAAACACTATAAGGCTGGTTCAAAAAGACTATCTAGTGTTTTTAAAAATAAAAATACTCTACAATATTTTTAAAATAATATACAGTGTTTTATGGGTTAGTTTAAACAGGTGATGGGAAAGTTTTTTGGATTTGGGTGAAAAAAAAAGATAGCTTTTTTAAAGGGTATTTTTGAAACATTAGAAATAAGAGATGACTGTTTAGAAATTATGAAAAGGGGTATCATCCTAGAAAAAACTCAAAAAAGGATTTTTTTCCTGGTCAATTATGTAAAAGGGTATGCCACTTTTCCTTTTCTTGCATATAATTTCTTAAACTTTTTTCTTTCAGTGGTTCAAATGTTTTTTTGGGCAATTGGATCCATTTAACCCACTTAGCTAGTTCATACTTAAATGAGATTTGAATCCAAGATATGGACTTCATGACATAACCTTCTAAAATTTGGTTCTAATAATCCTTGATTGGTTCGAATAATCTTCAATTGGGTTTTTGATTAGCATCCTATAATCAAACTTTATAGATGGTTTGAGTCATACTTTTTAACTGATAAAACTTTATAGATGGTTTGAGTGTCCAACTACTCCATTATTATTGTAAGGCAAATGGACAAACCAACCAGGTCTCCCCAACCGATATAACTACTCCACTATTATGTACACAAGACACGACAAATCCCAGGACTCCCAACCAACTCGGGCGAGTCCACAGGCGCCGCTGAGTCACGACTCGTCCATCTCCTCGTGCAGCAGGTCCTGCAGCGCCTTCTCTGACTCAGCCCTGTAATCCGCGGCCACGAAGGGGTGGCCCAGGAGTTCCGCCACCGACCACCGCTTCCTGCTCTCCTTCTGCAGGCAGCAACCTAGGAACCCCCGGAACTCGCTAGACGCTGCCCCCTCCGGCACAGCCCTAGCCGCCTCCCCGAAGCAAATCACCACCATCAGCGCCGCCCAGTCCAGCCGCGCCCCCTTAGGGAGCAACGGGAAGTGTCCCCGGTGCAGCTCCAGCACCGCCAGCCCTAAGCTCCACACGTCGGCCGCGTAGGGGTCGTAGTCCCCACCGTACGACTCCGAGTCGAACCGCTCCGGGCTCATGTACGCGCACGTCCCCACATAGGAGTCGCAGGGGTCCAGCGACCGCCGAAGCACCTTGCCCACGCCGAAGTCGGCGATCTTGACCTCGCCGGTGGCGTTGATGAGGAGGTTCGCGGGCTTGATGTCGCGGTGGACGATCTGGCGGGAGTGGAGATCGGCGAGGCCGAGGAGTGCCTGGCGGGCGACGGCCGCGAGGGCAGGCTCCGGGAAAGGGCGGTAGCCGCGGCGGCGAAGCAAGGCGTCGAGGGAGCCGCCGTCCATGTGTTCCAGGAGCAGAGCAACGTCCCCGGAGGGCGTCGGGGCCATGCCGTGGAAGCGGACAACGCGGTCGGAGCCGGCGGCGCGGCGGAGGATATCGACCTCGCGGTACACCTGGCGGCGGAGGGACGCGTCGGCGGTGTTGGTGTGCACCACCTTGAGGGCGTACACCGCGGCGGTGAGGCGGTGGCGTACCTCGTAGACGGTGCCCCCATTGCCGTGGCCGAGGACCCGGAGCTTCTCGAACTCCGACAGCCGGAACTCCGCGTCGTCGGTGGCTGCATAAGAGGTGGAGCACCGCTGCGGCGACACGGGAAAGCGGAGGCGGCAGTCAGCGGCGGCGGGAACGGGGAGTTCAACGGTGAGATTGAGGTGAGGGAGCCGGCGCTCGCGGACAAGGGCCATGGGCGATTGGAGAGCGTTATGGTCTTGGATAAGACCAAGGGAATCGAGAAGGCTTCTATCAAGGGGAGTGATATGGTCTTGGATTAGAAGGACACAGTTTCCAGAGGTGAGACTCCTATAAAGTGTGAGCGGGATAGGAAACGCGTGTGTACGTCGGCACCGACGGTGAGCTGATGTGTGGGATTAGTTGGGATGATCCCTGATAGTTGCTTGGTGGCACCTTAAGGTGACAGTGGCGGAGTGGTGAATGGGTCCGCTGGGCACGGTGTGTGGAACTCGTACGCTCGATGGATGTAGACACGTCGAGGTAATTTCTTGCGTCTTCGGAATCCTCTGGGATTCCCCAGGAAATTTTCTGCCACAAAATAAACAAAATTATTCCTTATCCAGCAAGCAAGCCGGGCAAAGTGCTGGAAAACCACTGATGCCAGCGCGGCACAACCCCCTCGAATAAGGCGTTTACCAACACCTTCGGTCATCCTCACCCTCGCTCTATGTAAAGGGTACGTGGAATCCAACAGTTTCCTCCGCACCGCCCCTATAGGCCATTGGGAGACAGCTGGGGAGGTAAGCCACTTGGTACAGACTAATACCACGGAGGGAGACCGGACATCACAGGGATTGAGCTCATGTGTTGCATCATCTTTGTTCCTGCGGATAACCGACCAAAATATTGACTTTGTTGTTTTTCTTCACGGCACGGCTCCTCTACGCTGCAGAGGCTTTGAGCTTGACCATCCCAAGTTGCTTGGATGCCACAATGGCATTTCCTACTGATAACCCAGTGTTCCCTTCTCGGCCAAGCCTCCTCCCCATCCATTAAAGTAAGTTGGTGTCTTAATGAGTGTATATATTAAAGAGAGCAAGTAAATTACTTGTGACATTTTTTTTTTTTGGTTTCTACTGAGAATATATAAAGTCCAAGCCGAGTAAATGATACTGTAAATAAATAATACATACAGGTGGAGATACCACATGGAGACTTCACTTGCGGCGCTTAAGCGAAAGATGTGGGCTGGCCCGGCCACATCGTCCGGCCCATCCACGGCTCTTGGCCGACGAGATCGCGATCGAGATCGAGAGAGAGGCGATAGAGAGAGAATGCTGCGGGTGTCGGAGGAAGAGGGGAACCGGAAGCGGGAGAGCTACGTGGAGAGCTACAGGCAGCTCGGCCGATCCCTCCTCGATCTCCAACGCGCCGCCGACCGCGTCTTTGACACCATCTCGCGAAGGGTTCCCTCCCCCTTTCATCCGTTCAATCTTGCTTCCTAGTCGCTTGTTTTGTTTCGTCTCTTATTGGATTCGTGATTCGTTCTATTTTCTTCTCATGTCGATTTTGTTCTTTCAGGCAGGAGAGGAACGAGATAAGCTGACGGAGATATCTCGGAGGATCCAGTTAGCCAAAGTAATCGTTCCTATCTCATCTTCACTATGACTTCCACAAATCAAGAACTCTCTCTCTCTCTCTCTCTCTCTAATTTGCAGTTTCTTGGATTTGGTAAGAGAGTTATTGGGCGAGTGGTAGCAGTGTCGTGTGTAGTTTTCGAAGCCCTAAGTAATCCGAAATTCCCATCGAGTTGCCTGGACAGTCATGGCAGTGTATAAATATATCTTGTATTTATTATCTTTACCATTTTCTTTCACATATTAGACATTAGAAGGCAATGCAATATAAATAGAAATTTGTATGCTCACATTGTCAATTAAGCTTAATCTTATCGATCCAATTTAGCTCTAATCTGTTGTATGAACATGGAATTTTGCTTTATAGGCTCAAATAGATGTGCTGTCTCGTTCTGAGCAAGCATTGACGATCAAGTCACCATCCCGATATCCATCCAGCTCTATTCAAGAAGAGGACTTCCGACCCTTATTTCCATATCATGGTGGAGATGCCGATGAAGGGTCTTCGGTTGCAAATTTGTTAGTGAATGGAGGATTGAATAGGGTATCAATTTTCTTTTTCACAGTTTAGCATCAATTCTGGTTTTAGGTCTCATTCCTCATACAATTGATTTAGCAGGAATTTGGTGCAGATGGAACACTTGAACTCTTTCAGTTTTTTTCTGAACAAAATATTGGATACCCTTTAAAGGAGACTGAGGCAAAGGTAGATAAGAAAGAAGCTCTATTTCACTTCTTGTCTTAGCCTTGCATTTTATGATGATTATTCTAGTCTGTCAGCTTTATTTTAGTTTTTATAGCTTTTCATCTTGTTCACTCAAATGAGCCATTTGTTTTGACGCCTTTTCTCTCTGAATGACAACCCCAAATTGCATTGCATATGATTGATGTAAGTACCTTATAACTTATAACCTAACTATCCCTCTATATATTCAAATGCAAAATAAGCTTGGCACATTGATGCTATCAAAATTAGGTTTCTAAGTAATTTGTCACCAGCTGTCAGTAAATGATTGAAAGTACACAAATCATACTCCACATAAGGCAAGCATATGGGAATGTAGGCCACAGCTGAAATAAATAATTTCTGCTGGCAAACTTTTATGAGAACATGGTAATATGGTTGTTTTGATACCATCTCTTTTGAGATTATCAAGGATCACACTCAAACTAAAACATGCAAGGAATTGTTGCAAAATACATACAAGACTCTGTCCTGTTCTTACATTTACAGAGGCATATGGCTAAGATACGAGAGGGCTAAGACCTCAGTTAAAACGAGGGTGAGCATATCTTTCATTTGCTGCAGTTTTTTCACTCTATTCTTCTAGCACCTCCAGTATGAAGTTTCTTGACCATCTTCATTAGTGCAGACATTGTTTTCTTAGCTTGTATCAATCACCCTAAGTCATTTTTCATGATTTAAGACTCGTGGATGGCTAACGTGCATATGTAGTTCCTTTAATGCTGTGCATTGTTTGCTTCGTCTTTTATGTACTTTCTCTATCTAAAATTATCTTAAGTTACCAGAATTTAATCTTGGGTGGATAACAGCCAGTGATGTTCAATCAGTCATCCTAATTTATTGGTCTGCTGGGGAAGGTTGGTACCTTTTTTGCGAATATCTCATGAGAACTGCAAAAATTCCATGTATGAACTATGAAGCATCAAAATGTTTCCATTCAAATATCTTTACGCACTTTAGTGCTAGGTAAAACTTAATATGCCAAGCTAGACAAATGTTGTAAATAAATATGCACAACATATTTCGATGTTCATTTTTTTCTTTTATAACATATCTGTAAATGAAGTAATTTCTTGCTTTTCAACACCTTCTATATAGCAACAAGTAGTATGCTTCTTTTGTATCTTCTATTAAGTGTTTTCTCACTATAGAATGCTATTTGTGATATGAATTCCTGATGGAATATATGCAATACCATGATTTCACTTGCTAATTTTACCATTCTAGGGTTATCCAAGACAAGACATGTTCTTGGAGAAGATTCTAGAAGCACCAAAAGATTCTGATGACAGGTGCATAGTGTTTGTATCTAGTTTTTTTTTCTTAAGCATGACTACATCGGTTGATTTCTCTTAAGCATGACTACATCGGTTGATTTCATGCACTTGATGCTTGCCTCTGATGCCAACCACATTGATACATTTTGAAGTGTGCATAACTGTGCTGTGGCTATGCCATAATCATTCTAGATACATGCATGTGTTGGCAATTCGATCTGTGTGCTGGGCACATGTGCATACATGTGCCTGATTTGAAAATTATGCATGGCACATGGCCAGATGTGCTGTGTTAGTTCAAAGTCCCCATGATTGGTATTTGATATAGTTGGCACATTGTCACTCTGTTATAAATAGTGCCTATAAGATTTTTGACTTTAATTGACAATATGCCAAATAATGGACAGCTGAGGTGAATGCTATGCAATGGAAGTTATCAAAGGCAAAAACTATTGCCTATGTTGTATTCTGCTTCAGACGTGAATGTTGAATCTGACTTGAGATGGAAAACTAATGGAGATCCATGTTCTAATGCGACATTCTGAAAATTATTAACTCAAAAACAACTGCTAGCTGTAGTCGCCTAACTATTGGGCGTCTGAAGAATATGTACTACATGGGTAAGTTCTTTGTTGTTGCTCTAATGCCCAAGCTGATATTAGACATCTTTTTGGTACCACTCCAACCATCTACTGCCCCCCAGAACAATTTGTTTCATAACCATTCTGCCTTTGATACAAATTAAACTTGTATGTCAGTTGTTTTTTATACATGTAGTATTGTGTTAAAACTTAAAATCTTAAAAAGCTAATCCATTAACTTTCAATATGTAGTTCACCAGTTCATCATAATCAAGAAACGGTTAACTAATCACATCACAGATGGTATAAATTCCTATCCAGCTTCCTTTGTTGGACTGGTTTTTCTGTCCTTATGGTCAATACCACTCCAATGACAGGTTGGTTATCAAACTGACTGATTCTTCTGTCTCTGCTTGACAGTACAATTAAGAGGATGGTACTATCATCATTTGTTTAGGCAGCAACGTAATTTGGCAGTATCAATCTAGTTTCTGCATATTTTGAAATCCATGTGGATCCAGAACAACAGTTGCACCTGAAAAGCTGATAATAACGACTACAGATTGTCATTCTGCATTATAGACACAAAATGCTTACTTAGTCATCAAGTGAGATATATATATATATATATATATAT